CTCTGACCCATGCAAACTGTTTCCTTACTGGGAGAGCTTAGGAATGTTACTTAACCTCTCTGTGCCTTCATTTCTTCACTTAGTAAAAGAAAGTAAAAAGACTTCCCTCACAGGTAGTACATGAGATAGCATATGATATAAGATGCCTGGAATGTTGTCATTCATTTAGTAAATATTTATTGAGGGTTGGACATGGTGGTTCATGGCTATAATCCCAGCACTTTGGGAGGCCGAGGCAGGAGGATCACTTGAGGCCAGGAGTTTAAACTGCTTGGGGAAGAAAGCAAGACCCCGTCTCTACAAAAAAACAAAAAAATTAGTCATGGTGAGGTGTACCTGTAGTCCCTGCTACTTGGGAGGCTGAGGCAGGAGGATGCCTTGAGCCCAGGAGTTCAAGGCTGCAGTGAGCCATGATTGCATCACTGCATTCCACCCTGGCAACAGAGTGAGACCTGTCTCTAAAAAAACCATATATTTTTGATTAGCCTCATGTGGCATGCACACATAGTACCAGTTACTAGGAAGACCAAGGTAGAGCAATTGCTTGAGCCTGGGAGGTCAAATCTGCTGTGAGCCGTGATCTTGCTAGTACCTGATGTGTGCCAGGCACATTTTAATGAGAAAAAATATATGTGTGCCCTTAGTGGGAAGGAAGGCAGGAAGCAAATAAGGAGTGATAAGAGCCAGAAAGAAAACACAGCAGGGTGTACAAGAATGGAACATCATGGGGAGGTGGTCAGGCCAGGCACTGCCCCCTCTGAGGAGGTGCTGATTGATGAGAATCCTGCAAGAAGTAAGCAGGGCCTGCAGGAATGTGGGAGCAGCAGGAGGGACCAGTGCCCCTCGTCAGCCAAAGAAAAAACTCAGAGTGACAGGAGCTAAGTGGGAGAAGGGGGCCTGCTGTTGGTGCCTGGAGGTCATGGCGCAGATGTGTGTTGGTTCTGAGCAGGATGGGAATCAACAGCAAGGACTCAGTAGATACATAGACGGTTCCAGAATTTCTCTTCTGTTTTGTTTTCTTTTTTATCTCCTTTACTTAAACAATATGAAAGCATTTCCTAAACTGTTCTACTGTGGTATAACTGAGAGTAAATAATTTAGTTTTACTTTTAGTCTGCTGAAATCCCAGGAAAGATTATACCGTCTCTAATCAATATACCTATAAATTAGTACTAAATGTGAAGAAAGTGCCTTGAAATTTTGGAAAGTTATGCAAACATCTGGTGTTACAATTATTACTGTAGTGATTTCCATGCTTCAAATGCCTTGGTCCTTCGACTTTTGTGGGACATACCACCCCCCTCTGGTATTCACGGGCTCAGCACTGGGTATGTCAGCTGCTTAGACAGTCAAAAACTGTGCATACTTGGCTCCTCAAAGTCACCTTTGGGATGATGGCCTTGTTAGATGCCTCACTGGCAGCTCAGTTTGGAGAAAAACACTCTGTGTAGGCAGGATGTTCCTGTGTCAAACACAGTTCATGTTAACATAGCAAAAGTCAGTCTAGTAGATTTGACCAACTTCTAAGAGAATAAACATCATACGTCATCACCATTGAAGTTGTGAGTCAATCATGGAGTGACTTAAACTGTGTAAATTCCTTATCAGCAAAATACTTTGAAATAGTCCATGCTTAGAAATGAGAGGTGAGGAGGGAAAGGAGCAGAAAAGATAACTATTGAGTACTGGGCTTAATACCTGGGTGATAAAGTAATATGTACAACAAACCCCTGTGACACATGCTTACCTGTGTAACAAACATTCACATGTATTCCCAAACCTAAAAGGTTTTTTTTTTTTTTTTTTTCGGGACGGAGTTTCATTTATGTTACCCAGGCTGGAATGCAATGGCACGATCTCGGCTCACCACAACCTCCGCCTCCTGAGTTCAGGCAATTCTCCTGCCTCAGCCTCCTGAGTAGCTGGGATTACAGGCACACACCACCATGCCCAGCTAATTTTTTGTATTTTTAGTAGAGATGGGGTTTCACCACGTTGACCAGGATGGTCTCGATCTCTTGACCTCGTGATCCACCCGCCTTGGCCTCCCAAAATGCTGGGATTACAGGCTTGAGCCACCGCGCCTGGCCCCTAAAAGTTTTTTGTTGTTGTTTGTTTGTTTTTAAAAGAAAGGAGAGCTGAGGCCTGAGGCCGGCACGGTGCCTCTCATATGCAATCTCAGCACTTTGGAAGGCTGAAGCAGACAGATTACTTGAGCTCAGGAGTTAAAGAGCAGCCTAGGCAACATGGCAAGACTCTGTCTCCACAAAAAATACCAAAAAAAATTAGCCAGGTGTGATGATGTGTGTCCATAGTCACAGCTACTTGGGTGGCTGAGGTGGGGGGATCACTTGAGCCCAGGAGGTTGAGACTGCAGCGATCCATGCTCACCCCACTGCACTCAGCCTGGCTGACAGAACGAGATCCCTATCAAAAAAAAAAAAAAAAACAGAGTGAGAAAGAAGTGAGAGGTGAATAGTGCTGTTTAACTTGCCTGAATGCAGTTAATACTCAACTGAGTGTATTTTTTTTTTTAAGATTTCATATCTGTTCTTGGTTGTATCTGTTAGTAAGATTGTTCAGAAACACCAGAGAAACCTAGATTTTGGGAGAATAAAAAAAAATAAAGTTAACCTTCTGTTATGTTCAAATGTGAATAGTGTCTAAAAATATTACATTTCCTTTTTTTTTTTCTTTTGAGACAGTCTTGCTTGGCTCACTGCAACATCCGCCTTTCAGGCTCATGCGATTCTCCTGCCTCAGCCTCCTGAGTAGCTGGGATTACAGGCATGCAACACCATGCTTAGCTAAATTTTGTATTTTTAGTAGAGACAGGGTTTTGCCACATTGGCCAGGCTGGTCTCAAACCCCTGGCCTCAAGTGATCCACCTGCCTCAGTCTCCCAAAGTGCTGGGATTACAGGCATGAGCCACTGCACCTGACCAGCTTAAAAATCATTAAATCTTTAAAAGGCAATTCTTCTCTGCTTAATAGACCTGAAACCTCTTGTTATGCATAATCAACTTAAGCATGGGTAGTTCTGCCTTATGTCTTGTGCAAATCTTCTTCAGCAATTTGAGTACATTTCTTTTCATCTGAGCTAATGGAAAACAGCTGCCCAACCTTCCCGATAACAACCTTCTTATACTTGAAGATGGTCATGAAGTCACTCCCTAGCTTTCCCTCCTCTATACTAAGTAATGCTTCTTACTCATCTTCAGAGTTTCTGTTTTCCACCCTTTTAATCATCTCTTGATCTCCCCAAGCTTTTCTGCATCCTTCTTTAAATGCAGGTTCCAAATTGGAACGTAATATCGTAGCAAGAGTTCTCACCATTAACTGGGTCACTACCTTTTCAGGTGGTCATATGTTATTGTCATTTATATGAGAAAGTCGGCAATTTTATCAATATCCAAAAAGATGAGATGTAAAACTAACAGTTCCTTTTACAGTGGGCTGAGTCTGCTTTGTGGCTACAGATTCTGATTTTGGAGTCTGAGGCCTTTAGCAACTCAAACTTCAGCTGTTCTAAGAAAAATTTGCAGACCCACAAGCTCCTGCTCCCCTTCTAGGTTTGTTGACAAGTTCTGGTGTACAGGAATCTTCCCAAGCACTGTTTTCTCTTAGGCAAAATTCTCTTGTACTTGACTTCTGGTTCCGTTTCTAAATCAAAGGTACATGCATTGAAAACGGAATCCCCTGGGTCTCTCACTTCCTCTCACAAAGCAGTTTGCTTTGGAACAGATAGATGTGGGACAGAGGGCATTGTTTTCTATGTCTAATGTCATTGAAATCACAGAGGGAGAAAGATCTTGAAAATGGTCCAGAGAGCAAAGGAAGGTAAACAGAAATGTTTAATGCCTATTATTTAGGAGAAGTGGCAGTGTGTCATTGAAGTTGTCTTGATTGTATGCCATCTCTGCTATTTCTGACTTTGATTGGCTCACTGATGTGACTTGTCTCTAACTCCCTCCCCCTTTCTTTTCCCTAAAAATTGTAATTCCTCAGTTGGAGATGCACCTGGTACTAGGATTGTGAGAACCACAGCTCTCAGTTGAGACAGGGCTATAGGTCCAACTAAATAGTTTTATTGCTTATTTCTGCAGGCTTCTCAAGTTCAAGTACAGCCCAGCCCAGGCACTCAAACATTTCATTCCTTGGTCAGCTTCTGCAGGAAGGGGGAATCCTAGCCATTGTCCAGCATGTGACCTTGGACATGGGCAGGCAGGAGAGTGTTTTGCCCAGTGTTAATATGTGGCAAGACTTGCTAAGTTAGCATGACTATCTGGATACTGTAGGGCCTGTTTTATATGTGTGACCAAGAGATTTCCTGATAAGTTATATTAAATCCTTCTTAGATTTTCTCTCTCCCCAGATATTGGGGTTCATTAAGCACTGCCTCACAGTTAGTAATTGTCATTGTACTTCTGAGAGAAGCAATGTAAATTCTGCATGACAACCAAAATCAGTTGAATCCATGGATATCTGGAATATCAGTTTGGGAATGATTGATAACTGCGATCATTTTGAATGAATAAATGCAATATAGCTTAGCTACATTTCACAGTAAGATACAGTGTTAAAAGTGCCAGCTGTTTGTGCTTAGGTATGTCTAGGTTCCAGAAAGGTACATTTCCGTGGATCATACCTACTGTTCATTGGAAGTAAGGTGAATTATTTTTTATTCCATTCTGAAAAATCACCAGGATATTTATGCACAGTTTAAAGACATTTAGTAGGACACCTAATTTTTTTCCCCATCTTTAATGAGATTCAGAGTTCAAGTGAGATAAATAAAACTTTACTAAACTTACCAGCTTGTATTTATTCTTGCAGTAAACTTTGAACAATGCTCAAGTGTCTGTTTCTTCATTGCTGAAAATATATTTTTGTACCACTGAGCAGCCCTTGTGAACTGCATACCTGCCCTGCAGGGCACTGAGCCTGCAGACAAGAGAGTAGCGTTGCATATAACTTCTCCATTTTCCCTTTTTTTCCAGTCTAACAGGCAACCAGCTAAGTTGAACCTTCTCACCTGCCAAGTAAAACCTAACGCCGAAGACAAAAAATCTTTTGACTTGATATCACGTGAGTCCTTTTTCTCTCTCTCTGAGTTGGTTATTGTGGCTTCTAACACCTGCACATTTTCATTCTCCAGGTATTTAAACAGCAGCTTTTCCAAGCAGGGCTCCTCAGAGTTGGCATTTGAACAGGTTCTTGTTATTCCTGCATGTGCAGCTCTGGAAAGATGCCCCAGGTCTCTGAATTTCCACTGAGCCCACCTGCAGTTGACAAGGCAGTGTCAGATCTGACCAGCAATAGAATAGAATCTAGTATTTGTACATAGAACTAGACCAGTGCTTGACCGTGAGTACACAGCTTTATCCCCTTGGAAAGATGTTTCTAAGTATATTCCCATTTCTCTCTTAGATCTACTGAATCACAGTTGTTGGTATAAGGCCCAGACATAGTTTAAACAAACAAACAAACAAAAAAAGCCCCTAGGTGATTGTAATGTGCACCTGTGGTTAAGAAGCACTGATGTAGACTTGGGAATGCAGGTATGCCAATATCTATGTACAACGAATTTGCCCAGAGTTATATCCCTGCAAAATCTGGCTCCTAAAGGAAAAATCATTTTTTTGCTTCCAAGCAGAATTGCCTTCAACCTTCGTGAATTGATGGCACTGCACCCTATCACTTTTCTACTTCATGGTTCAGAGTTTGTTTTTCTCTTGTGATGAGAGAGTATAATGAGCTACCCACCCCACAGCCTGTAGCCTGTGCTTTCACAGTGTGTAGAAAGTTGGGGGAAGATGTTTTTCCTCTAGGCCAGCTCCCATGGGTATGCTTATCGACCCACACTGTAGCTGAGAGGACCTCTTTTTCTAAAGAGAGGATGACAGAGCCAGTGAAGTGACTCTCATGAATATCCTGAAATCCTGCAACACTCATCTTAAATATCCCCCCTTCTCTGTCACAGCCCAGCAAGGCAGGCCAACAGCCAAAGTGCGTGATCTGTGTATAGAAGCACAGAAATATTTTCCTGACCTTTGAAACCCTTTTGATGCAGTTGTGTGAATGGAAGCTCAGGAGTCCTGACCCAAAAGATGGAATCAGTCATGAGGCTCTTTAGATGTAGTGTAAGCTGTATTCTGCAGCATCTATATGAAGTTTAGATTCCCTGTGGTTTTCATGACCAAGAGATTTCTTGGGTTATTGGTAAGAAAGAAATATGAAAATTTGGAATTATTTTATGACTTCAAAAAGCCAAGAGCCCCTAGTTATGAGAATATATAGGTTATTAATAATAATTGTCAGTTACAGAGCATCCGTTACATGCCAAGTGGAAAAAAAAAAAGTATTATTGCTAACCCTCACAAAAGCCTTATCTGTTAAATACATTATTGCTTATCTTCACAACAGGCTTATCAGTTTTCCATTTACAGAAGAAAAAACTGAGACTCCAGGAGGTCCAGTGAGCTACACAAGGTCACACAGCAATAAAGCAGAGACCCAACCAAGGCTCTCAGGCACTGCCACCCATGGCATGTTCTTTATTGTTTTGTTTTGGTTTTTGTTTGTTTTTGAGACAGAGTCTCACTCTGTCACTGAGGCTGGAGTCCAGTGGTGGCAACCACAGCTCTCTGCAGCTTCAGCCACCCAGGCTCAAGTGACCCTTCTCCTTCAGCCTCCCAAATAGCTGGGACCACAGGTGCATGCCACCATACCTGACCAATTTTTAATTTTTTGGTCGAGGCAGGGTCTCCCTATGTTGCTGAAGCTGGTCTTGAACTCCTAGGCTTAGGCAATCCTCCTGCCTCGACCTCCCAAAGTGTTGGGATTACAGCCATGAGCATGATGTGTTCTTTGACATACACGTTGTCTCTCTCTCCAGGGGAGATGAAGGATATGAATGCCTAGCCTGTCACACAGGAAGTGCTCAGGATGTATTAGTTTGACCTGAATATGTTGAAGCGTTCTTGAAATCCTGAATGTTAAGAAAGAGCTTCCCTCATGTGTACCTGCCCAAAGTATCCAAGTTAGGGCACGCCTTCCCTTACCTGGATAGCAGAGATTGAGCCCTTCTTCCTGCAACCTGATTGATCCAGAGAGTAGCCCCAACACCTGGGTCACAGTATGCCTAGTGTTGAGGGTGTTGGGGCTACTCTGTAGGTAAGTCAAGATCAATGCAGAACAGTAAATGAATCATTTCTGAAAAGGAGATTTAAAAAAGAAAGCACAGTAACAGTTGAATTGAAAGTGAAACAGAAAATGCTGAATTAGCTGGCACTCTCCAGCTTATCAGGAAAACCCATTTGGATCAAATAGGACCTTCCCCTCTCCTCACTGTTTATTCAAAAGCGGTGCCAGATGTTTGCATGGTATTTGTGGTTATTTTATTGCATTCTTGTTGCACTTAAGATATCTTGACAGAATGAATCATGTAGCTATTTTATTGCTGTGTGACCTTGTATAAGTCACTGAACCTTTTGGATCCTCAGTTTTTTCATCTGTAAAATGAGACACAGAAAAGGCTTTTGTGAAGATTAGCAATAATATACACAAGGCACCTGGCCGATACTGCTGTAAAACTAAAATAACATTAAAATCCCACTTTTACCGGGTTGTTTGTTTTTTTTTTTTTTCCCAGGAACTTAAATTTGTGTTATACCTGAAAGAACCCTGCTTTTCATGGTTTCACTTATTTTTCTTTTTTTAATTTTAGATAATAGAACATATCACTTTCAGGCAGAAGATGAGCAGGACTATGTAGCGTAAGTAGTTTTGAAATAATGGTGCCATGCCTTGGATTGAAAAAGCACCTCTCTCTTTACTATGTATATCAACATTTTCCTTTCATTTGTAAGAACTTCTCCTGGTGGCTCCATGCTTCTTTTTCGCCCATGGGCTGTCACATGTTGCTCTTCTCTCTGTCTGTGGTTCTCCCTCTTGTCTACTCAGTAAGTTCTGGTATCCCCAGCAAGATTCTGCTTTAGCCCCACCCTCTCTGGGGTTATTGCCCCCTACTATCTGCCCATGGCTTCTTCGTACCCCTCTGTGATCCTCTGGTGCATGTCTGCAGCCCTGTAGAGACCAAGAGCTTTTTGAGGGCAAGACTGTGCCTTATGCATGTTTAAATCACATTCCTTGCCCTCAGGAGGGGCCTTTGCTCAGTTTTTGGTGGCCAAACATATCAGCCAGCCTACCTGGACGCTTGACCGTTACTGTAAAGAGAAGCCGGGTTCTGAAGGAAGGAACACTGGCAGATGCCTTTCACTGGGGTAGACAGTCAATTAAAGGGAACCTGATAAAGTGGCCAGGACCAGGTTTGGTATCACTGGAGTCCTGCGCTAACCTGACCAGGTATGCAACCTTAGACAGTCCCTGGCCCCTTTTTTAAACACTGTCCCTGGTCCTGAGCCAGAGACTGTGTTTAAAAAAGTATCCAAGTTAGGGCACACCTTCCCTTACCTGGATAGCAGAGATTGAGCCCTTCTTCCTGCAACCTGATTGATCCAGAGAGTAGCCCCAACATCTGGGGCACAGTATGCCTAGTGTTGAGGGTGTTGGGGCTACTCCATAGGTAAGTCAAGACCAATGGAGAACAGTAAATGAACAGTTATGCCATCTTCTTTCTTATAGCCTAGACTGAAAAAGGCAATGTGTGACTATTACAAATCTCAGCTGCCTGGGAGAGGGATGTTTTTGTTAAAGTGGGCTATTGGTGTTCACTTTTTTTTTTTTTTTTTTTTTTTTCTAACGAGTACTTGGGGTAATTTGGACTGAGTTTCATAAACTGTCAAACTTCCTGTCCCATTAGTGGCACACAATAAATGCTATGTTCCTCTCATTTCTTTCCTCTTTTATTTCTAGAGGGTCCCAGAATTATTCTTATACCCTTTTTGCCTTACACTCACCTCTTTTCTCTCTTCCACTTGCTTACTTGCTTTTGCTTTTGCTCATGTACACACAGTCTTCTATGGGGAATTTTACCCTTTTCCCATTTCAAAGAAGAAATGATAAAGCATCAGAGAGAAAATAGAACATGGGTAGAAAAGATACAGAGATGGAAGGAACAGGATGGGGAAAGAAAGCTGAGAGAGAAGGTAGAGAGACAAAGGAAAAGGAGGAGAAAGGTCTAAATAGCTATTCATTATTTGAATATTTAATGAATGTCAGCTGTATGACAAGACTATGCAAAGCCTTGAGAATACATTAAATGAGATGGAGCTCCTGCCCTGAAGGAACTGCATCTCTACTGAAGGAGGTTGTCAGTGTGATATAGTGCAGGTGCTAAGTATAAGGAGAGGAGACCATGAGCTGAAGGAACAGACTCAGGGCACACACCGTCATGGCTTCCTGGGGCTGTTGCCCAGAGATGACTTCCTAGAGGAAGGTAAGCCTAAGCTGGCTCACGAACTTAGGGGAAGGTTATAAATACTCTACACTCCGGGTAGGAGGCTCTGATGGCTCAGAAGCAGGAGGATGGAATAGGAAGGAGGTGATTGATGACTTGGTGTTATGGGTATAGAGTTGGTGGACTAGAAGGTGACTGAAGTCAAATGAGAAAGGAAGAAGTCAGAGGGCTGTCCTTCCACCCACAGATTCAGGGAGAGGTACTGTTTATAATGAAAATGGTAATATTTATTGAGATGTTACTGTCTTATTAATTCTTACAGCCCTGACTTTTGTCCCTAGTTTGCAAATGAGGAAACAGAGGCACAAGATGCCCATGGTAACAGTCCTAATAAGCTAGGATTTGAACCCAGACAGGATTCCACAGTCACCTTGGAATATTGTTTATCCTTCTCTTATTTCATTCTCTCCTCCTCGTTTCCCTTTCTCAAACCCCTAAATGGAACACAGGTGAGTAATTTGGGTGAGGCAGGGAACACAACCACTTTCTCTTTGTTCCCTTGTGACTCAAACTCAGGCCTTCAATATTTTATTTACTCTTAGGACTTACAGGTAATTCAGTCCCAGTTTTGTTAGATATTGGTTTCCTGCCCATGAGGTTTAACATTTTTCAGTAAAAGAATTACTTGGCCCATCTTGAAGCTGTACATTTTGCACTTTGTAGTTTTGTTTTGTTTTTGAGACGAGGTCTCACTCTGTCACACACACTGGAGTGCAGTGGTGTGTTTATAGCTCATTCGCACGTAGCCTGTCTCCCAGGCTCAAGTGATCCTCCTGTCTCAGCCTTCCAAGTAGCTAGTGCTACAAGCATTCATCGCCATGCCCAGCTAATTTTTTTTTTTTTTTTTTTTTTTTTTTGTCAGTAGCCATGAGGTCTTGCTGTTGTTACCCAGGCTGGTCTCAAACTCCTGAGCTTAAGCCATCCTTCCACCTCGACCCCACAAAGTGCTGGGATTACAGACATGAGCTACAGTGCCCAACCTGCATTCTCTTTGGGTGCCGATAGTGACAGGGGAACTTTGTTCTGACTGATATAGGAGGTAATGGCAGTCCACAAAGAAAGCACATGCCCCAGAGGGAAGCCATAGTTCTCCACTTACCTCCAGGTTACATAGAGGCAGTTTTCACTGCATTAAGTTTATTTTCATATGAAAGCGTTTGAAGAAATTGAATGAAAAAATTCCTTCTCACTGAGGAAAGTATACAAAGAGCAGGTACATGTTAGACTCATTTGGCTTCTAATCCAGGCTCTGCTGGCTAGTGGTTTAAAAAAAAAAAAAAAAAGAGAGAGACAAGATCTCTCTATGTTGCCCAGTCTGGACTTGAACTCCTAGGCTACAACAGTCCTCCCGCTTCAGCCTCCCAATAGCTACAACTACATACATTCACTATTGTGGTTAGTGGCTTTTTAACCTTAGGCACATCATCTGGCTTCAGTCTTCTCATCAGTAATATGGGATTATGTACCTCAATTGCAGGACTTTGAGAGCATAAGATATGTAAAGCCCTTAGCACAGTGCCAAGTTATTTTTTATCTTCTAAAACTCAAAGGGACTTTTAAAGTATTAAAATACAATTATACATTCTTTATGCTTTTGAGTATGCTTGTTACTTGAAAATAATTTAAAAGTTTAAAAATATTGTCATAAATGATCACTGTGATTCTTGGTCCTTTTAAAATGTAGCCATTTCATTCCACCAAATTTGAATTATTTTCTCTAGAAAATTATCCTTTAAATATATTTTTTTCTGATTATCATGACAAACTTCTTTATTTGTCATGAGCTCCCGAGTAAAGAGGCAAATGGAAGGAACTCTGATAAAGTGAGTCAACAAAAGTATTTTCTTATCTTCATCTGGTCTGACACAATCCAGCCTAGGACCTACTTAGGCAAGTCATATAACTTCAGTTTCCTCATGTATAAAGTGTTGTAAACCCTAACTGAGAGGCATGTTGGAAGATTCTACAGGTTGAATATCCCTTATTTGAAATGCTTGGGACCACAAGTGTTTTGGATTTTGAATTTGGGGTGCACAATCTGTATGTCAAAAAGTTGTAAGTATTTGGTACATATTGGATACTGGCCAATATTAGCCAAATTCTGTAATGCCAGAAGAAAGCAAAATAGAGGCTTTGCAGTCAAGTGAAAAATCCAGTAACATCAGTGTCACTGATAGAATGCAGTGATCAGTCCTGTTGAACCCAGGTTCTTGAGTTGTTTTTAACAAAACAATTTCTAGTTTCTAACTTGAGATTAACTGTTAGAAAAAATACTGTTTAATCTTCTAAAAGTTGCTAAATCCCCCCGTTCCTGCCACATCAAATTCCTAGACCGTTGGTTTTGAAATGTTCAGTTTCCCACATTACAGTAGAAGTTAATTGTATTTCTCCCAACATACTGAAGGTGAGCGCCACCTAGAGTCAAAGGTGTGACTTGCATTATTCACATACTCCAAAAACATAATTTGTTTTTTGATTATTATGCTATCACTATTATTCAAAGCCTTTTGTATAGTGCTTTGTTTCATATCCATTTTATTGAGTGATATACGAAAAAATGGGAGACTCGGTTCTAAACGTTTATATTGCCTGTTGAGAATAAACATTAGCTGTCTATGTAGTAACTAAGAAAACAAAACAAAACTACAGTGGTTTGGAAATGTTCTTCCTTTTCTTTTTAAAAAATAACTTTGGCAGCCAGGCACAGTGGCTCATGCCTATATTCCCAGCATTTTGGGAGGCCAAAACAGGTGGGTCACCTGAGGGCAGGAGTTCAAGACCAGCCTGACCAACATGGAGAAACCCCATCTCTACTAAAAATACAAAATTAGCAGGCATGGCGGCACATGCCTGTAATCGCAGCTAATCCAGAGGCTGAGGCAGGAGAATCGCTTGAAGCCAGGAGGCGGAGTTTGTGGTGAGCCAAGATTGCACTCCAGCTTGGGCAACAAGGGCAAAACTCTGTCTTAAAAAAGAAATGAGAAGAAGAATAAAAAGTAAACTTGACTTTTTTCTCATTCACGAAAGTAATACAAGCTCATTATAGTTTTGAAAAATTATAGAAAGCATAAAGTCAAGCAATTCCTCTATCAATTGTTTTCTGCAGAAAATTACTCAGAGACAACCACTATTGACATATTGGTGAAATTATTTTTGGCCTTTAATACATACATATATTTAAATTTGGGATTATATGATTATGTTAGTCTATTCTCATACTGCTATAAAGAAATACCCAAGACTGGGTAATTTATAAAAGAAAGAAGTTTAACTGACTCACAGTTCCACATGGCTGAGGAGACCTCAGGAAAGTTAGAATTATGATGGAAGGGAAGCAAATAAGCCTGTCTTCACATGGCAGCAGGAGAGAGAAGTGTGTGGAACAAAGGGGGAAGAGCCCCTTATAAAACTATCAGATCTCATGAGAACTCACTCACTATCATGAGAACAGCGTGAGGGAAACCACCTCCATGACCCAGTCACCTCCCACCATGGGTCTCTCCCCAGATACGTGGGGATTATGGGGATTACAATTCAAGATGAGATTTGGGTGGGGGCACAAATCCAAACCATATCAGTCATATAATAGATTTTTTGGTTGTTGATTTCACAAAACACTATATTATGAGCATTTGAAATCATTATGAGCATCAAAAATCATTTGAAATTGTACACTTTAATGCCCACTTAACTGTTCTACTTTGTGGTTATTTCATGCCTTATTAATCAACACCCTGTTGTTGGATTTTTAGGTTATTTTAGTAGCAAAGGGTTATTTTGTTTGGGACATATGGTAGTCATATTGTATATAAGTAAATACCCTGCACTCTTCATTTAATATTATAAATGTCATATTTCCATGTTAATATGACTTTCTCATAAGCATAAATTTTTGTGGCTCCTAATGAAATATCTCTTCATTTTCACTATTAAGTGTCCCCACTGACATAGTCTTGCAGAAAACAGATACCTTTTGCTAAACTCCTTTTCCTGTCCCCTGTCCATTCCTCATCATTGTTTTCTCATCCTTGCATTGAATGGGTCCCTCATTGAGTCCTCTCCATTCCAACATTCCCTTTATTCAATATGCCCACGCTGAAATTCAGTCTCCTTGTATATTCGTGCAAGTCCTCAGTTATATTGATATTTTACTTTTCTCACTCATCTGCTCCTCTCATCTCTCATTTTCCCCTATGTGTAACTTTCTATTCTTTAACTCTCACTTTCCTTCAAGTTGGATTTATTCGTTTTTCCTCGCTTTATTGCTATTTTGGGAGGGGGGGTTCTCTTTCAGAATTACTTGACAAAAGTAGATTTTTTAGCAGTGGAGGAAGAAAACAATGGCCATGCTCTTATAAAGGCCTTTTTCCTCTTATGTTTTTGCCAACAGATGGATATCAGTATTGACAAATAGCAAAGAAGAGGCCCTAACCATGGCCTTCCGTGGAGAGCAGAGTGCGGGAGAGAACAGCCTGGAAGACCTGACAAAAGCCATTATTGAGGATGTCCAGCGGCTCCCAGGAAATGACATTTGCTGCGATTGTGGCTCATCAGGTTTTTGTCCCATATTTGAACCAGCTTTTATAACATCCTTTCTCTTTCTGTAGAATATAAAATGATCTAGTTATTGAAAAGCCTTAACCCCAGTGGACACACCCACATACACACACACAACACATTCCCAACATGATAATTCCCACCGCTGAGCTGCTTTTACCTTGCTGTTTTCTCTACCTGGAAAGCCCCTCTTGCTCTCCTAGATGTCACTGCCAAAATACTACCTTTCCTATAAGGTCCAGGTATATAAACACCATGGACGTTATGGAGAGAGTAGGGGGCATGGAGTCCATATTTTGTATCACAGTCTGCCACTCACAGCCTGGACAATCTCACACCAAGTCCCTCTACTATTCTGATTCGTAGTTTCCTTATCCTAAAAAAATGGGTCAGTCTCTTTCTATGGCACGGTGGCTCATACCTGTAATACTAGCACTTTGCTGAGGCGGGCACATCACTTGAGGTCAGGAGTTAAGAGACCAGCCTGCCCAACATGGTAAAAATACAAAAACTAGCTGGACAAGTTTGCAAGCACCTGTAATCCCAGCTACTCGGGACGCTAAGGCAGAAGAATCATCTGAACCCAGGAGGCAAAGGTTACAGTGAGCCAAGATCACGCCATTGCACTCTAGCCTGGGTGACAGAGCAAGACTCCATCTCAAAAAAAAAGAAAGAAATGGTTTATGTGAAATTAACTGACATGTGGTACATGATTTTCCTTCCTTCCTACTCAGCCAAACCCTCCCTAAGCTCTATACCACTGTCTCCCAAACTTTTATTTTCAAATAGCGCTATATTATCTATGTATTGGCAGCAGCTAACATTGAATGCCCCCACCATATTGAGAATCGTGCTAGGTGTTTTGTTTATCTCATTGAATCTTTGTAGAAGCCCTGTGAGCAAGATCCCAATATTCCCATTTTCCCATTTTACAGGTGAGGAAACTAGGACTCAGAGAGGTTGAATGACTTGCATAAGGTCACACAGCTAGTAGGGGTCAGAACCAGGATGCAAACGTGGTGTTCTTAAGCACTATATACCTTTTTTACTCTTTTACTTGTGAAACTGGATTTTCTACACAAGGTGCCATAAGGAGCTCAGAGAAAAGTCTCAGATTTTCTGCCATTATTGTGTACATGTATGATAGTGACACACATAGTGTCAGGAAATGGCAGACACGTAGTAAAATCTCAGGCATTGACCAGTCAGAAAGAAGCTTGACCCAGAGAAAGAACACTGAGGATTTTGCTAACATAGAAGTAATAGTTCCCACTGTTCTAGGGCCATAGGAGGTTGTAGAAAAAAAGGCCTTATATCCCTAAACATTTGGTGTTCATTATTTACAGCTGTCTTATTACTAAGAGGTGCTCATGGGGAAGCCATGACCACGAACTGGTGGGTTAACGTTAGTTACAACGTGGAGGTTAATGATGGCTATAGAATCCATTCACCTGTGAGCAGTACTTCATAGACCTTCATTCAGTCCATCACTGTCAGAGGTGATAGTGGCAGTGAGGGAACATCTCTCACAAGGCCTAAAGGTATTGCATAGGATCTCGTAAGAAAAGCCTTTCTCACATTTTCACAAGGATAAAGTGTTTAATCTTGTTTTCATTTCAGTATCAAAAGGAAACTGTTAGAGTAGTCCCCAGGCTAAACCACAAGAGTCCATTTCTTTTATTTAAGTCTTTCCTTCATGGTTCTTAACAAGTTGTACTGCTGTTGTTTGAGCTTCCTCTGTAGTTGGCACACTAAAATTAAATGTCTTGTTTGTTTCATTGTCTTCAAAATTATTTCCACAGAACCTACCTGGCTTTCAACCAATTTGGGTATTTTGACCTGTATAGAATGTTCCGGCATCCATAGGGAAATGGGGGTTCATATTTCTCGCATTCAGTCTTTGGAACTAGACAAATTAGGAACTTCTGAACTCTTGGTAAGTAGTGACCTGTACTTGGGAAGAATAATATTGTCATGAGTAATTTTAATATATTGTTTGTATTTTTTTTTTGTATTCTGCTGAGTACAAAGGATTGTAATTCCTGAATTTTACGAGTTTGCATAGATGTTTAAAATGTAACTTTTATGGTGTGTGATGCTGTTTCTATTTCCTGTTTGAAGGAAGAGCGAATCCTACATGTCTATAATTAGCTCAATGAAACTGTCTCCTTTCTTTTGGGATGGGCTTCTTCAAAACAATTTTTTCTTTACGCTGAAATAGCAGTTAAACTCAAATGTTCACATTACTTCACGGCTTCTGTTATAAGTAATGACTGAGGAGTTTATCTCAATTTTATTTTTATTTTTTCTAAGTTTGTGAAAGTACACATGAATTAGGAGTGGCTTGTTAACTATTGTCATAAAACCAGCTACTCGCTAACCCATAACTGCTTTTCTTTTTGAGACGGAGTTTTGCTCTTGTTGCCCAGGCTGGAGTGCAATGGCGCAATCTCCGCTCACCGCAACCTCCGCCTCCCGGGTTCAAGTGATTCTCCTGAGTAGCTGGGATTGCAGACATGTGCTACCACGCCCAGCTAATTTTGTATTTTTAGTAGAGATGGGGTTTCTCCGTGTTGGTCAGGCTGTTCTCAAACTCCTGACCTCAGGTGATCTGCCTACCTCAGCCTCCCAAAGTGCTGGGATTACAGGTGTGAGCCACTGCACCCTGCCAATAACTTCTTTAGGTGGTAAGTGAAGAAATTGTGTAAAATTGCGGTGCTTGGCTTCTTAATTCAAAAAAGGGTTTATGTACACTTAAACTTGTTTTCCTTTAACCTCTGTACTTCCCCATCATGAGTCACCCAGATCTGGAGTTGTCATCAGGTCCAAATAGCTCCCCAAGATATACCAAAAAACGGAAGGGGAGCCCTACTTGGCATCCCCCAAGTAGGAAGCCTACTGGACAAATGCCCTGTCCATTTGTCCAGTAAAAATTGACTTGCATAATTTTAACACTGGTGCACTGGGAGAGAGAGTCTTTGTACTAAGAGTGAGATTTTTAAATAAAATATGACTTCTCAGACAGGAGGCTCACTGTTGAGCAGAACCTGAGTGAACCTGGGCTCAAAAAAAAAAAAGCTGAAAGTCTAGCTTATCATTAGCCTTGACTGGGGAAAAGTACCAAAATGGGCATTTAGTAATCCAGTCAGCAGACCTGGCCATGTTAGCGTTCACTAAGCAATCGTGATCTGTCTTCTGTTCTATGCACAATACAAGACATTCCTTTTAATTCAGAAAGTAGGAAGTTACCATGCTGATACTCAGCTCCCTAGTTCACTTCTGGATTATAGAGAAGAGACAGAGACCTAACATCTGAAATACATTCTTCTTTAGTGCAGAAATGATGTCACTCATCTCCTTGACTTCTATTAATGAAATCCAGTTTGATGACAAGAAAGAGAAAAGTCCAAATCCCAAAGATATGCCCTGCAATTAACCCAAGATTTTTTTCCCCAAAGACCTGGTTGCATGTATGTTTCTTAAACTTTGCATCCCAAAATTCATGAAATGAATAGAGGCCCTTCAGGACAAATTTTCTTAGAATTCTCTTGAAACCAGAAGCAAAATGCTTCCTGGGTCCTCTGCTACCTGCAGCATCTTAATCTGTTCACAAATATAGGGTAATTCTATGTCCTTTTCTGTCCAGGGAGTAAATGTGTTCAATATAAAAAGGAGATGTGATGGTTGAAAAACTATTGCTGTTCATTAAAAGTCTAACCTATGGTTAAACTCACATGGAGCCTTCTCTCTGTAATCCCAGATCGTTTGTATGTGTGTAGGACCAGATTCTATTTTAGCATTTATCACATAAATGTAGACATGATTGATTCCTTGTCAGTGGCCCCACTAGACTATGAGCACCTATGGAAAAGGAACATGGTTTACCCAACGCTGCATTTCCAGCACTGAGTTTGGTGCCTGGCACATAGTAGATGCTCAGTAAATATTTGTTGACCAGATGGATGGTGGTTTATATTCTAAGTCAAATGAGGGAAAACACATACTCAGAAATCTCAAAAGTAAATAATAGGACACTTTTAACTAGTAGTAAAGAGTTTGCTATATTGTGTTTTTTTTTTTTTTTTTACTTTCTGTTACAGCTGGCCAAGAATGTAGGAAACAATAGTTTTAATGATATTATGGAAGCAAATTTACCCAGCCCCTCACCAAAACCAACGCCTTCAAGTGATATGTAAGTATTTCTGATATATTAAACTTTTTTTTTTACCATTCTATAATTATTTTTCTACCCTCCCAAAAAAATTCTTAGTTTTTTACAGTTTTTTTTTCAGTGCAAACCCCATTATCAGAGGAAAGCAGAGTATTTAGAAATGTATTTCCAGAATGCACAGATTCTTTTCACCCTCACCTTCCCCTCTGTAGTTGCAGCTGAGTGTCTGCTCTGTGGAGCACAGATTGTCATGGGGGCAGTTCTCTCAAAAACATGACGTATTGTGATAAGTAAGAGACATTCAAAGACAATGGGAGATTCCTGTTAGCCTGGCAAAAATCCAAATGCTTACAAACCCACTCAGCAAGATTGTGGGGAAACTGACATTCTCTCTCATAATATTGCCAGTGGAGCACAAAATGGTACACTGTGAAAAAGAAATTAACCATATTTACCAAAATTATAAATGTATTTACCCTTTGACTCGGCAGTCCCACTCCTGGGAATTTATTCCTATTCTGTAATAGAAAAAGATTAGAAACAAGTATCCATCTGTAGGCATCTGATGAAATACTGTATGGTAGAGCCACACAACAGAACACTATGCAGATGAAAAAAAAAGGACAGATTACGCTGAAGGCTTTTCAGAAGTTAATTTGATCATAAAACTACCATGAAGAAATAAGATGTAAGTTATTTTACCAGCTTGATAACAATAAGTTCTCAAGTGCATACACAGTGCAGTCTTCTCCACACCAGCATTTTTGAAATGTTTGCATGACCAAAACCTTGAAGACCCTGCTGTCGAATTAACGTCATAACAGCATGGATTTTTATGTCCTGTTTCTCGTGTGGAAAACAGTATCAGCGCTGCCCGGTCAACTACGTGCCTCATCTAGTCATTTGGCCTCTGTAAGGCTTTTGCCTTCAAAATGTCAGTGATTCTCCAGTATCTCTAATATAATGGTTATTAAAGCCATAGATTTTGAAGCCAGACTGCTGGAATTCATAGCATAGCTCTGCCATTTCCTAAACTATGTGACCTTGGACAAGTAACTTTGTTCCTGCCTTAGTTTCCTCATCCAGAACATGTATCCACCTTGGAGGGCTGTGGTAACAAGGGGCTTGAGTAAAAAGTGCTTGCGGCAGCCAGGCACGGTGGCTCGCACCTGTAATCCCAGCACTTCAGGAGGCCAAGGCAGGCAGATCACAAAGTCAGGAGATCGAGACCACCCTGGCTAACACGATGAAACCTCGTCTCTACTAACAGTACAAAAAATTAGCTGGGCATGGTGGCACACGCCTGTAGTCCCAGCTGCTAGGGACGCTGAGACAGGAGAATCGCTTCAACCTGGGAGGTGGAGATGCAGTGAGCTGAGATCACGCCACTGTACTCCAGCCTGGATGACAGAGTGAGACTCCATCTCAAAAAAAAAGAAGTGCTTGGAGCAGCATTTGGTCTGTAGTAAGCGCTATATAAGTATCTATGAAAATTATTATTATTGGCCTGTAGTAAGTGCTGTGTATTACTGCTACTACTGCTACTGTTTTGTTTGATCAATGACCCAGAGGCATAAAGTGAACCTCTTGTAACATGCAGTTTAATCACTCATTTAGTCATTGATCAAATCCTTATGAGGCAACTTCCCTGCTCCAGGCACTCTTGTAGGTGCTGAAGATACAGTAGCAAACAAGACAGAGTTCAGAGTTCTGTCCTGCTTACATTCTGACTGAGGAGAGGAAAACACAGGAATTAAAAAGTCAGTAATACAGTTACACACTGTATTAGGTGTTCTGAAGAAAGTACAACAAGAGGAGGTGTTGAAGTGTGTGGAGAAGGGGGAGGGGACTTTTTTTCAGGTTGAAGTTGGGGAAAGCAAAGCTGAAGGGCATGACGGCCCCTCCCCGTGGGGAGCAGCCAGGCAGCTGAAACAGTCATTATGGGTGCCCCAAGGTAAGTAAGGCATATTTGAACTATGACCTGAAAGAAGGTGTGGCAGGAGAGAACTGAGCATTCGGGGAAATGGTGGGCAAGAAGGAGATGGAACCAGATCATGTAGGTCATGCACTACAAGTGTGATTGAGAAGTTTTAAACAGGAGTGGCATGATCTGTGTTATGTTTTAAGTTGATCATGTGATATTGGTTCTCAACCAAGGGTGACTTTGCCCTCAGAGAATATTTGGCAATGTCTGTAGACATGCAGTTGTCATGACTTGGACAGGTGCTACTGCACCCAGCAGGTAGAGGTCAGAGTTGGTGCTAAACATCCTGCAATGCATAGGACAGCTGCCAGATAAAAGAATTACCCAGCCCCAAATGTCAGTAGGGCTGAGGTTGGGAAACCCAGCTGTAGCTGATGTGTGAAGGACAGACTTGTGGGGAGTATGGTGGGGCCTGGGTGCCTGTGGAAACAGACAGGGGAGATGCTGTTAGACCAGATCCACTGAGCGCTGAAGATAAACTAGACAAAGGTGGCAGCAGTGAAGGTAATAAAATGTAGTGGACTTCCCAATATATTTTGAAGTGAGAGCCAACAGGATTTGTGGATCAGTTTTAATATGTGATGTTTAAGACTCTGTCAAGATGACACTCAAGGTTTTACCTCTAGGTAAATAGATGGTAGCTTTAATGAAAATGGAGTAGAAAAGGAGAGGCCTGGGTTTAAGGGGACAGAGGAGGAAAGTTGTCTTTATCAACCATAGCACTAGAATTCTAGTGTCCAGATTTCCAGACAAATCTATTTTCCATTCTCCCTGTTACTCCACTGTCAGAAAACCTTAAATTGTTAGGAAACCATGGGCTGAATGCCCACAAAAGGTTGAAGGTATTGTGCCTAGTAAGAGGCCAGATACTTCCTATGGCCACGGAATTAGAGACCTAAGGGTAGAGGTGACTTTCAAGGTGATCCAGGTGATCATGTGATACCTGAGCGCCCTCTGCATCATTTCTTCCAAATAATTGTGTGGCATCACATGATACTTCCAGTGACATGAAGCCATCTGCAGATGTTCCTGAAACACAGATGAATGCACGGAAACAGAAATGTAAGATCCACCTCCCCGCAACTTTGCATCTTGAAGTCTAGTTCTGCCCTTATGGATAATAATGGGAAGGAAGCTTTCAAATGAACCCCTAAGGCATGCGTCATTCTTTGTTCCTTACCCATAATTTGCTTCCTTGGAACAGGCAGCTATGATTACTAATGTTTTGCAGGTTAGGAAACTGAGGTGCAGCAAGAACTTGATTTGCCTGAGGTCACATAGTTAGCATGTGGTTTCAGACTTGAATCAAGAGCCATTTAATTTTTAAGTCTGTTGCTCCATTCATCAACACAGTAACTGCCTTTCACACTTTATATAAGACACATGCAGCAGAGGACTCAAAAGCCAGGCTTGGGCCATTCTTTCGGTTACTGGAAGTCGTCTAATTCATCAGGCTCTTGCCATCCTAAAGGGACTTTGACTTAAGCATAAAGGACACCCATGAGCATGAGCGCTTGGTTACTTAGTAAATCAGTTGGTCTTTTCTGAACTGCATAGAGTTGAGAAAAGACCAGAGGCTGTGTGCCATCATCAACCAGCTCAACTCTTTTTACTACCAACCCAGAATGAAAGAAAAAGGTACCAGCGCAATGTTAAACTGTGTTGCCTGACTGTGAGGTGTTGGAAATAGCAGCAGCTTCCACTGGTGGAATGCATGTTTTTGAGCAAGAAAGTTTATATCCTTTGTGTTAGAGCTCTCTCAGAAGGTAGAAAACACTTCTTAGACACTGTACATCCTTTAAGTCAAAATATACCAATGTCTTATTTGTATTTTCAGATTAAAAAAAAAAAACCTAAAGCTCATGAAGATTAAGCAGTTTCCCACAGTCACATAGCTGGGATCCTGTAGAACTAGGATTTAATCTGAAGTCCATTTACTGTCTTTATTAATTAGCTTATGTAACTGGAAAAGTAAAGGGATGGATTCAGGTGCATACCCTAACTCTCTTTCCCTGACTCTACCTCTCCTTTCCTCTGAGCTGACTTCCATTTTAGTCTTTGCCCAGAGGTGACCAAGGCAACCGTGGGGCCACTTAGGTCATATACTCACTGCTGTCGCTGGGAGGTAAGCTCAGTCCTACCAGAAACACTTGAACTGAAGTGAGAAAGGCGATTTCTCAAGAGAAGGAAAAAGTACCTCACCCCTTCAGATTTTGGGCATGTTATCCATGTGGTCTCCTGCTCCTACACCAAAACCTCTGTGGGAAAGATAGCTCATCTTCACCCCTTTGGAGCTCAATGCCAGGCCTGGGGTAGTTGCTTCAGTGACCACCTATCTGAGCCTCAGTTTCTTCACCTATAAAATGAAGAGTTATGGCCAGATGCATTGGCTCACGGCTGTAATCCCAGCACTTTGGGAGACCAAGGCGGGAGAATTGCTTAAGCTTAGGAGTTCAAGACCAGCCTGGGCAACGTAGCAAGACTCCATCCTTTTAAAAATTTTATAAAATGAATAGGGAGTTATATCAGATGACAAAAATCCTTTCCATGAAGCTCTGAAAACTGTTAATTGGTCTTTCATAATGTGTTTAACTTCTCAAATTTTTTAATTTCCTCATATACTTATATATCAGAGTTTGAAGTATTTATAATTGATTTCTCATGCTGTTGGTCAAGGTGAAAAAGAAATTTACTGTGATTTATGTGCTTGTTTACTTTGTAACTATATTTATTACCTGTATATATTAGTTAAATACATATTATTTTCTTTATTCTGTCTCTATTGGAATAATTTTGTCTAAAACCTGGTTTGTTTGAATGGTGAAAAGAAGCATATCTTAATTAAAATAACTCTTCTCAAAGAGAAATGTTTGTCAGTAAAACGTAAACCTTTCTTAGCACTTGGAAAATAAAATGCTTTATTTTGTCTTGTGTTTTAGGACTGTACGAAAAGAATATATCACTGCGAAGTATGTAGATCATAGGTTTTCAAGGAAGACCTGTTCAACTTCATCAGCTAAACTAAATGAATTGCTTGAGGCCATCAAATCCAGGGATTTACTTGCACTAATTCAAGTCTATGCAGAGGGGGTAGAGCTAATGGAACCACTGCTAGAACCTGGGCAGGTAAGTCCTCACTAAAATCATAGGATAAAATGTAATGTGGAAAATCAGTTTAAAAGGTGACTTATTTTAACATTATACCATACAATGAGACTCTTATACATTGGGTGACCATGTCTAAATCAAGAGATTTTGAGAGTGAAAATGTGTGCTCCTTATAATTACTTTGGGGCAACTAATGTATGTGAAGCTTCCCTAAGTAGAGCATATGATCCACTTATTTATACTTTTCCTTCCCTTTTTAGGAGCTTGGGGAGACAGCCCTTCACCTTGCCGTCCGAACTGCAGACCAGACATCGCTCCATTTGGTTGATTTCCTTGTACAAAACTGGTATGGTGTTTGTTTTCTCTATTGAATTACCTGAATATGCCTTATAAATTAACACAAACCAGGCCTATCAGTGGCCTCGATCAGGAATTGGCAAGCTTTTTCTGTATCACGCTAGATATAAAAAATATTTTTTAGTGGGAGATGTCTTGAAATGTAAAATCCCATCCTTTGGGTTGTGGGGTTTTTGTTTTCTCCAAACAAAATCTAATCTTCAAAGTTAATATATATATATTGGCTTTGCAGGCATGAATTGTCTCTGTCAGAGCTATTCAGTTCTGCCATGTTAGTGTGAAAGCAGCCATAGACAATGTGTAAACAAGCGAGTATGGTTCAATTCCAATAAAACTTTATTACTTTATTTATAAAAACAGACAGTGAACTAGATATGGCCTACAGGCTATAGTTTGCCACCCCTTGGCCTTTATAAATGTAAAATTCTGTCTGTATTGAAAACTCTGCTGCACAGACTGGACACATTTCCCAACCATTAGGAAAGGTTAAAAGAGAGAACACTTAACAGCACAGATTAACCAGATTTTTGAGTTTTCGTTGTTCGTAAATTTCATATAAGACAGCAGCAGTGTGTGTGGCTGGATCAACAGCTCATTCAAGTTTGGGACATACTAATGGAAGTATAATAGTGAACACAGGAAGTTTAGACTTGCTGGATTCTTTATTCTTTATCTGTTCTGTAAGCAACAGATTTGTGAGGAGGAACTAGAGCTCATCCAAAGAAGATGATCAAAATATTAGGGGATTTGAACCCATATAGGAAGAATGGTACGTAGACACAAGCCAAACTGTGTAAAAGTCCAGGTTTCTCCCTCAGAGACAACATAGCATAGCGGGTCAAAGCACTGGCTCCAGAGACAGATTACCTGTGTTCAGATCCCTGCTGCACCATACCTATCCTGAAAATCTTGAAAGCAAGCACTTCAGCCTCTCTGTGCTTTAGGTTTTTTTTTTTTTTATCTGTAAAAGAGGTTATTATTAGTACTTACCCCATCAGATGGTTGTAAAGATTCAGTGAACTAATACATGTAAACATTAAAAAACAATGTCTGTCCCATAGTTCCTGGCACTCTTAAGTAAATGCTAGTTGTTACCACTATATTGCTTATAAATCCAGATTAGAAACATAATTTTCTCTGTAATAAGTAGGTCTCAAATTTGACTCAATTGTCAGCACAAAAAAAAGTGGCTAATCTATAGTTTTAAGTTACAGAGTAAGTCATTTTTTTCTAACCATCTGACTTTTCAGTGGGAACCTGGATAAGCAGACGGCCTTGGGAAATACAGTTCTACACTACTGTAGTATGTACAGTAAACCTGAATGTTTGAAGCTTCTGCTCAGGAGCAAGCCCACTGTGGATATAGGTAAGAGTGTGTCCCAGTGTCTTCATGACTGTAGTAAGAGCATGTGTTGCATGTTACATTGTAATGTCATTGTTGTTCCTTGCCTTTTTTTAAGGTGTTTCATAGATAATTATGCAAATTAATTTTTTCTCTATTTCAGTTAACCAGGCTGGAGAAACTGCCCTAGACATAGCAAAGAGACTAAAAGCTACTCAGTGTGAAGATCTGGTAAGCAAAAATGGACATGGAAGATTTATTAGATATTGGCTGCCTTAAAAGTGTCATTCTGAGAAACTGGAATTGAATATTAAAAATGCAGATTCAGGCTGGGCACGGAGGCTCACACCTGTTGTCCCAACATTTTGGGAGGCCAAGGTAGCCGTATCACAAGGTCAAGAGATTGAGACCATCCTGGCCAGCATGACGAATCCCCGTCTCCACTAAAAATAAAAATATTAGCTGGGCGTGGAGACATGCTCCTGTAGTCCCAGCTACTTGGGAGGCTGAGGCAGGAGAGTCACTTAAACCCGGAGGCAAAGGTTGCAGTGAGCCAAGATCGCACCACTGCACTTCAGCATGGTGACAGAGCGAGACTCCCATCTCAAAAAAAAGCAAGTTCATTTTTTTTTTAACATTAGCCAAAGAAATTCAGATAAGCACTGTGCTACATTAGAAAAAGTGGTCAAATGGCCTACGGCCATACCACCCTGAACGCACCCAGTCTCATCTGATCTCAGAAGCTAAGCAAGATCGGGCCTGGTTATACTTGGATGGGAGAAAAAGTGGTAAAATGGTAAATTTGTCATCCACTTGTCTTTGGAATGCAGTTAAAGGAGCTGAAAGGCTTTTGAGAGGTATTATTACCAGATAGGCTTGTGGATTGAGGTCATGCTTTTTATTTCCCAGACCATTAGACTTTCTCTGAAGCTTAACAGTAAAGAATTATATGAGAAGCTGATTCCAAAAATTGGGCAAGTTAAAGCTCAGAGTGCAGTGGTCTTCAAAATGGTAACACACTGTTCTCCCAGCCCCTCCCCCTCCTGTGCACAGTCACCTTTTTTGACTCCACTAGTTTTGCTTAGCAACTCTGGGCCTTCGCATTAGTGTGATTCTCTTGAGTTTCTGCTAAGTGCCAGGTTCCAGGCAAAGCAGTTGGGCCTTTTTATTCTTAAAAGAATCCTTTGAGACAGTTATCCCTTCTTCCATTTTATGAATGAGAAAATGGGGCCACAGATTGGACGGGGACCTTAAAAGCCTACCTCTTAGACTTCAAAGACACATTTTGCCTTTCAGCCAGGAATTTGCAAGTTTGAGGCCCATTTAATAAGAAGAAAGCTTTTAATTTTGGAGACAAGTTATCAAAATAGAGAAGGCTCTGCCTGTAGTTCTTTACATTTCTCTTGAGCCTGTCATGCAGCAATGCAGCTTGTCTAATCAGAGTTTTGGCTGTAGTACACCTGTAGCTGATTCATTGAAAACTAGGAGTAAGGTGGGATTTGCTCAGTGTTTGTATAATATTGGGATGTTCCATTTAAATTAAAATGGTGCACATTTGCTGTTCCTTTCAGCTTTCTCAGGCTAAATCTGGAAAGTTCAATCCACATGTCCACGTAGAGTATGAGTGGAATCTTCGACAGGAGGAGATGGATGAAAGTGATGATGATCTGGATGACAAAGTGAGTATAAATTATATCCTCGAATTCCTTAGCACTTACCCCAGCTTTTCTACTCTGTGTAGACAAGATCCATTTTTAGTGAGATTGATCGATTGTAGTTTTACAGTTTAATGTACCAAGGCCATTTTTGTTGTTCAGTCCTTATTGGGCACCATTTAACAGCTATATTAAGGTTGTCCAGAGAAATGGAGCCAATAGGATAGGGAAAGAGAAAGAGAAATTTTTTTTAAGGAATTGGCTCACATGATTGAAGAAGCTGTCAAGTTCAAGATGCACAGGGCAGGCCAGCAGGCTGGAAATCCAGCAGGAGTGAATGTTGCGGTCTTCAGGCTACACACAGTCTGAGGACAGCATTCCTTCCTCTTCAGAGGACCTTAGTCCTTTCTCTTAGGCCTTTTGGCTGATTAGGTGAAACTCACCCACATCATGAAGGGCAGTTCTCTTTACTCGAAATCTACTCACTTAAATGGTAATTGCATCTAAAAAATATCTTTACAACAACATCCAAACTGGTGTTTGACCAAACACCAGGACATTGTAGCCTGCTGACATAAAATTAACCTTGAGGCTGGGCATGGTGGTTCATGCCTATAATCCCAGCACTTTGGAAGGCCAAGGGCGGGAGGATCGCTTGAGGCCAGGAGTTTGAGACCAACCTGAGCAAAATGGTGAGACCCTGTCTCTACAAAGTAAATAAATCAATCAATAAAACATGGTGGTGCTACTCAAGAAGCTGAGGTAGGAGGATTGCTTGAGCCCAGGAATTTGAGGCTACAATGAGCTATGATCACACCACTGCACTTTGGCCTGAGTGATAGAGCAAGACCCTATGTCTTTAAAAGAAACCAAACCAAAGGTAAACAAAAATAAAATTAACCTTCAAGTAATTAGTAAGTAAACAACAATTATTATTTATTGAACATAATCATGTACCATATAGTAACATTTCAGTCCACAACACACAGCATACTCAGTGGGGATCCCTGTAAGATTATAATGGAACTGAAAAATAGCTATCACCTACTGATGTCATAGATGTCATAATACTGTAGTGCAACGCGTTCCTCACATGGTGTGGGGATGCTTGTATACTACTACACTGAGTAGTATAAAAGCATACTATAATGTCCTAGGCCTTTACTCACCTAGGCCGTTCACTCACATTCAGAGCATTTTCCAGTCCTTCAAGCTCCATTCATGGAAAGTACCACTTTTTACTCTTATATACCATATTTTTATTTTACCTCTTCTATGTTTAGATGCACAAGTAGTTACCATTATGTTATAGTTGCTTACAATGTTTAGGATAGTAATATGCTGTATAGGTTTATAGCCTGGGAATAATCAGCTGTACCATATAGCCTAAGTATGCAGTAGGCTATTCCATCTAGGTTTGTGTAAGTATACTCTGTGATGTTCACACAAGAACAAAATCTCGTAACACATTTCTCAGAATGTGTGCCATCATTAAGGCATGATGTTCATTAAATGTGGATTAGACAGATTTAAGCACTTAGGTTATCTCAGATCATCTTTATTGAAAGTCCATAGTCTGGTGCAGTGGCTCACACCTGTAATCCCAGCACTTAGGGAGGCTGAGACGGGTGGATTGGTTGAGCCCAGGAGCTTGAAACCAGCCTGGGCAACAGCGAAACCCTCTCTACAAAAAAATACAAAAATTAGTTGGCCATGGTGGTGCGCACCGGTGGTCCCAGCTGTTCAAGAGGCAGAGGTGGGAGAATCACCTGATCCCGGGAAGTCAAGGCTGTAGTGAGCCAAGATCCCGCCACTACACTCCATCCTGGATGTCTGAGTGAGACCGTGTCTCAAAGAGAAAAAAAAGTACATAAGGGACATCGTAAAGGCTCCCAGCTAGTAGAAGACAGTTTGTAGGATTAGGCCCATTTCTCACTGTGTTTTCCTTTTTAAGGCAGTTAACTACCTCTGAAAGTTCATTCATGCATTAATTGATTGCATATGTATTGGACATTTCCTCTGTCCCAGGCAGGATGTAAGGAATGGCCAAAGAGGTCCTCAAGGCATTAACAGCTTAAGGAGGAAATAAATTTTAATAAGATGTGATAACCATTATAAGCATTTGGGAAAATTACCAAGAGGTTTTCAGACTACCAAGCAGCTGTCTCAGTCTTGGCAAGCAGTGAAGACCTTCTCAAGGACATTGGAGACTGGTTTCTAAGGATAGGTAGAGGCTTGCCAGGGAAAGAAGTGGGGTGGAGTGCATCATTCCAGTTATGGAGAGCAGCATGTGCCAAGGAAAGGAGTCGTGGTAGAGCCTGGATGTCTCAGGAATGGAGAGAAGCACTGTATGTGAGACGCATTCGCCTGGCTGAATGGTGAGAGGCTGGCAGCTGCCTTGGAGTCAAGCAAACCAGATCAAGATAGCTTTATGAGCCAAGTCCAGCCTTTGGGTTTTTGTGCATCAGTCAGAAGCCCCAAGAGGTTTGTTGTCTAAAGAGCAGAGTTTCCCACCGGTTCTGGCTACAATGTGAAAAATAGACTGGAGAAGTGGCCATTCCAGAGGCTGTAGCTGCAGTGGGAACTGATGAGCACCTGCACTAGGATTGGCTTTGAGGGGTATTTCTGAGGTGCCTGCAGAAACCAGGGACTCTAGGTGACACTGAGGTTTCTAACTTGGGCAGTTGAGTGGATCCTAATGTCATCACCGCAATTGCAAATACCAGAGACACCTTATGGGCCATTGAAAATGGTTTGGAACCCAAGTAGTTAGGATTGGATTTACAGATCTGTAAGTCATTATTGTGTTGGGGGCAGTGGGTATGAATCCGTTTACTTTGTGGGGGGATATAAAATGAGAAAAGAAGCAAAGAATGAGAACTTCACCATTAAAGGATTGAGGAGGGAGGAAATCTTAATGTAGCAAATTAGAAGTAGGTGGAAATATATTCAGATGTTGCTGAAAATGTCCTGCATTCTGAAGGACATTGCTAATTAAAGGCTAAATCTACCTGTGACCTTAACACTATGCTTCTGACACTGCCGCTGATCCTAACCAGTGTTTCACTAGTGTGATTATTCATAGTGGTGAAAGATTTAAAAGTGTGATATCTAGATCCTTCCTTTGTACTGTGTCACCACCATGAGGCTCGCTGTGGCAGACCTTGTAAAGCACAGAGAGCCACAGGAACCCGGATTCCCACCTGAGCCTACCCTGCAGAGGCTCTCTGTACACCTGAAGGGTGGTCCTTCATTATTATCTCACCTTCTTGTTTCATCTGCCAGCCAAGCCCCATCAAGAAAGAGCGCTCACCCAGACCTCAGAGCTTCTGCCACTCCTCCAGTATCTCCCCCCAGGACAAGCTGGCACTGCCAGGATTCAGCACTCCAAGGGACAAACAGCGGCTCTCCTATGGAGCTTTCACCAACCAGATCTTCGTCTCCACAAGCACAGACTCGCCCACATCACCAACTGCGGAGGCTCCCCCTCTGCCTCCTAGAAACGCCGGGAAAGGTACGGGCTTTGAGAAGGGGTCATGACTCCATCCTCAGAGCTGGCCGTGTAGCCAGCTTTGAGGTAAGAATTGCAAGGTACATTTGAGTGGCATGGATCATGTTGTCAGGAGCAGCTTGAAATAGGGACTGTGCCATTTACCAGGCACCAAGAGCAGGACACGCAGTGTTGTGGGTACTCTTTGTGCATTATTTGTGTTAACCTCATGACAATCCTGTGAAGTATGTGTTTTTGTACCCATTTTACAGAAGAGGAAACTAAGTCTCAACGAGGTAGAGTGACTTGCCCAAGGTCACACCACTGGTAAGAGGTAAAGTTGAGATTCAGTCTGTGGTCTGCATGGCTCCAGAACCTGTGCTTTTTATAATGTGGAGTGGAGTTTCAGTTCTCTGGAGAGTTACTTTTCTCTCCATTAAAATGCCTCTCTTTGGAAGATGCTAGCCATGATAATGATAGTTAATAGTTATGAAACAATTGCCTTATGAGAGGCTCTATGCCTAGTACTTCTCATGTAATAGTCTCAAAATGATATAGGTACTGTTACGCAGTTACTGGCATCATGTAGATGAGGGGATGTGTTCGGAGATGCTGAATAATTGGCCTGTGGTTCTCAGCTACTGGGGATTCTAACCCCAGGTTCTGTGTGAGCAAAACCATTCTCTTATACTCTCTAATGAGGATTATTTTTCCAGAGACAGTACCTGGAGAGGATTTTTTTTTCTCCTTTAGACAAGGTCTTGCTGAGCCACCTCCACCTCTGGGGCTCAAGTGATCCTCCCACCTCAGCCTCCCAAATAGATAGAACCACAGGTGCATAGCACCATGTGCATAGCACCTGCTTTTTTATTTGTTTGTTTTGTTTTGTTGGTAGACATGAGGTCTTGCTATGTTGCTGAGGCTGGTCTTCAATTCCTGTGCTCAAGGGATCCTCCTGCCTCGAATCCCCCAAAGTGTTGGGATTACAGGCATGAGTCATTGCACCCAGATGAGGAATCGTACTCAGAGGAGGGTTGTTGTGCTGTGTGTTGTCAAATATCTCACAGGGCTGGCGCCTCTCAGGCCAACATTAAAGTGTTGTCCTAGCCAGTTGGGAAAATTGAGAGGTACCCAGAGCTGTAGCTTCAAGTTCGTTCTTTGCCAGTAAATCCAAATGCAGGGTTCTCCCTGTGTGCTCAGCTTGTGCTCCCACAGGTTTCAGGGCCTCTCGCTACACAATGCCATGCCTATTTGAATCACACTGGGGCTATTTTCTGGGAAATGTGAGCTTTATTCAAAACAGTGTTTTTTTAGCGCTTATTCTCTATTCAAATAGTGTTATAAATGGGAGCTGTGTTCTTAGAGAGACCCCAAATGGCCTCATAGATGATAAACTAATAGAGAAAAGTTAAAATAACATTTACGCATGAACAGCTCTCATCAAAGATAACCAGTGACCACACAGTAATAGTGCATGTAAGCCAAAGGTCTAACCCACCAGTGTTTTTTTTTTTTTTTTTTTACCATTCCATACATTGTACTAAAACGTATTTTTTTAAATCACTCATATATCAAGCCGCAGGTCCGTAGTGTAAGAATGCTGTGTTGTTGCTTCCCTGTAGGTAATGGTATTCCCCATCAGGGTAGCAGTCTGACATAGAGCAGAAATTCTCTTTCTGCACTCTACAGAGAACTGTGAGAAGCCTCCAGACCAAATACAATAATGGAAGAAGTGACTGAAAGATTTCACATCCTCTGAGTGTGGTTACCAACCTAGCAGTGGTGACCTATTTAGACAGGCACGACTTATGCCTGCTCAGAGATCCTCTAGGTCATTGAGAGTCCTGAAAATGGTTTATAGGAGAAAATGACCCCAGAATCCTGGGTGCCAAGAGATCCCCTCACTTCCCTCCACCCCCTTCTGTAATTTTATCTCAAGGGGGACACAGAAACCCATAATATAGACTGTCTGACTTGGTGCCAAGTATATCTCTCATGCCTTGAATAAATTCTAACCAGCTCTTTACCAAAGACCCGGAAGACAAAGACTAAATTTATTTAGTGTTCCAGCTGCTGAAACAAGTGTTTGAGACTTGGCGACAGCAACCGTGGTCAACTAAGGATAGAGTGCTTTCCCCTCTTCGCCCAAAAAGGCCCATAATTGAAAATAGAAATCCTCCCTACAAAAATCAGAGTGTTCTTCATGACTGTTCACAGCAGGACATCAAATTCAGAGATTTGGCCTGTCTGCTGGTGAGACGTAGGGAGGACAGCCTTCTCATGACTTTTATAAGGGATTTGAGTTGTGCAGTCTCTCATAGCTAGCTCAGCTCACATGCACTTAACATTTGGAAAACTGATAATGTTTAGAATGGAGCTCTTAGAAGACATTGTAAAGATCAGCTGATGCTCTGTATGCTGTTTTGGGGCCCCTATGTTGTTTTTTCATTTCCTTCTGTTGAACTGATAGAATTATTTGCATAAAAACAGGGATGTCTTGGCTCTTTCATTGGGGTTGCTTGGTCTCCATGACAAGTAAAGCAGGGTCTCTATTTGTAGCAGAAGTCATTTCCTCAACTGTGAATTCAGGGGTCTGAAAGACCCCTAAATTAAGTCTTCCGGTGAGACAGAAACAGACACTCAAGATAAAGTCCCCACAAAGGGGAAGAGGAGAAAGAATTATTCTGAATCCAGCTGAGGAATATTTTCAAAAAAACTCCAGCTGCCTCATCAAAATTCAAGGAAGCTTGACCTAAATTACCATCAAGCAAAGCCCCCTTGTGCTGTGCACGAGCAGTGCCCCAGAGTCTCAGAGGAGCACGGCAGTGCAGAATCCCAAAGTCACCATCCTCAAGCCCCATATCAAGACATTTTGCTCCTAACCCCTCTTCAGATGTGGGGTCCAGAGAGACTGAAAGCTCTGAAATTAAAAGTATGTAGAAGTGTCTCATATGTGACCAGTAGCTTCCCCCCTACCCTCCCCAACTTATACTGTATGTTTATTAAGACTGGTTCTTGAGGCTTGCCAAGATTAGTTTCTTTTTAAACTTTAAATAAAATAATATCATAGAACCTAGGTTTATTTATTTTTTAGAGATAGAGTCTTGCCCTGTTGCTGAGGCTGGAGTACAGTAGCATAATCATAATATATTGCACCCTTGAATTTCTGGGCTTGAGCAATCTTCCTGCCTTTTTTTAGAGACAAAAAGATACTAAAAAATTAACACAATCTGTACTTACTTTAAGGATAAGGAAACTGAGCCCAGGAAACGTTAAGGAACTTAAGGTCACATGGTGGCTGAAATAGGATAAAAAATTAAAACAAGTCTTAAAATAGGCCTTAAGACTTGTCAGACTAGATTATCTCATTTCTTCTTTTCCACGTTGAAAAAGATGATTCACCCATCTCCATCTTGCCTGCCTCATGAAATTGTCGTTAGAATCCAGTGAGATAATGTAGGGAGAAAGTATCTTAAGCTATAGAACTGTGCTTTCTTCCATTGCAAAATTTCATACCTTTTGTGTAGCAATCACAAAAACTTGTAGCTGACATAGAGTCGCTAACTCACATGATATTGTTGTCTAGATTAAATGAAAATATATAAAGCATTTAGCTCAGTGCCTGGCACATAGTACTCCATAGGGAATACCACTGCCAATATTGATGCTGCTACAGCTCCTCAGCTTTTACAAGAGTTTTTTTGGGAAATTGGGACCAGAGTGAAGTCATCTAAGCCTGTTAATTTTCGTTTTTGTTTTGTTTTGTTTTGTTTTTTGAGACAGAGTCTCACTGTGTTGCCCAGGCCTGTGACAGGTGCTCTGGATAATGAGACCTGGCACTTGGTATGCATCTTAACTCAAAGAAAGGATGTGTTAAATAAATGAATGATAATTCCAATTTCAAGAAACTTCTTTAACATGCTTAAAAGAACTAACCTGTTAAGCTTTTAGAAAGGCAAACAACTGATATGCTAATTACAGTTCATTTTCATGTATCCCTGAAGCTGGGCCTCTAGAATCAGGCATTATATAGCCCTTCTCAATAGCATGTGAATACCTGTAAGTATTAATTATGCATTTCGTACACATTTGTTATAATGTAGACTTCCTACCTTAGAAAGCCTCTGGCTTTGAAATAATAAACTAACAGATAACCCGCACAAAAGTAGTGTGGTGTCTGGCATACTGAGATTTATAATAGATAGTTGTTGATGAAGGGTTGGTGCCACAGAGAAAATTGAATAGATGAAGAGACTAAATACTCTTATTAATCAAAGTATATACAGTAGTTTGAGCGTAACAAACTAAGGCAGATCAGTCTGTGTCAAGCCAGACCATGGCTGTCTGGACAGCTGTGAACTCCCAATTAGGTTTCTTACTTGTGGGTCACTGCTTAGAGAGCATGAAATAATGTCTATGAAGTGACTGACGCGTAGTGAGCGTTCAATAAAATATAAGTTTGTTCAATCCTCCTGCATGTGTTCAGTTTAACAAACATTCTGGGCACTGGAAATGTAAAGAAGGGAGAAGTAGCTCCCACTCTCAGAGCTACAGGGAAAGAGGACACAGTGGAATGTGCCCCTAGGGCCAGTAGGGAGTATTCCTGGAGGAGCAGGAAGGAGAGGTGCGTTCACAGCTTCAGAGAGAGGGTTAGGGAAGCGTGCTCTCTTCCAGTTAGGAGCAGAACTCCTTCTCAAGGACAAGGGCTATGAATAAGCTGCCTTTGCCTCCCTGACACGGAGAGTAGAATGCTCGTCAGTGCTCGTCAGATGCATAAACAACAGCAGAAAGAATCAGTGAAAGCGTGACCCAGTAATGGGTGGCCAGTGGAAGGAGGGGACACTGATAAAACTAAACCAGATATCTGCGGGTGTGATAGTTGACTTGCTGAAAATCTAATGTTTGCAGCAGTTGTGCCCAAACACAGCTGTGTATGCATTTTAGACATTTCACCAACTTTCCTTGGAGATCTGTGGCAGTAGATGGGAAGAGGAGTAGAAAGGGTGGAGACTTTCTCAGTATAT